CGCTCAGGAAATTTGTCCTGTCTTGCCTGCACTCAAGACAGTGACGTGTGAGCGCCACTGACAGATTCTTCACTCCTATTGGTTGTCGCTCGCGAAATTCGCTGTTCATTTGCATAAAGTTAAACAATTCTTAACTTTTGTCGCTTGACTCACATCGCTTGGCACGTCCACATTCTGTCGCCAACGGTCACTGTCACCGGAAGTCGCCAGCTCTCCACTGAAAATGAATGGGAGCATGTCGCTTTGTCGCTGTGTGTCGCTGGCAGTGTGAACGGGGCTTAAGCCTTCCCCAGCCTTGAACGGGGCTTTACACACGCTCCGCCTATGACAATATTATAATGTTTAAAGGAGTGGACATGAAAATCACGGGAGCGAAACATATTGCGGGAGCAGGCGGCAATGGTCAGAGATTCAGCGGGAGCGAGATAAAGAAAACAGCCAAATCCCGGACATTTTGGGCGATTAAGAAATCCCTGCCAGACACATTATTTTAGGTCCAAAATGAGGACATGTCCGGGGAAAAGAGGACGTATGGTCACCCTACCGTTATGTTGAGTTACATTATATTCAAAATGCTATGTTAGAATAACCCATGGATGGGTTTGTCCATAACTGACCCATCAGTGGGTTGCAAAACATTTTAAATTGGGTTACATTTGTGTGTTTTAACAGTTTAGAACATAACTGTATCACCAGAAAGAACTGTAGAATGTTTTTTTTTTTATTCAGCCCATTTAAAATGTTGGAACAGGTCACAGTTCTACAACAGTTGAACATGCGGACCACCAACAGTTCTGAACAGTTTGGTGTATTACAGTGACACTTCACTGTTTGAATTACTCCATTTGTCTGTGCTTGCAACATTTCAGACAAGCTGCCAGTCTGTGCATTTCTCAGTGACACTGAACAACCTGCATGTTTTTTTTGTTTTTTTTTGTTTTAATTCAGCCCATTTAAAATGTTGGAACAGGTCACAGTTCTACAACAGTTGAACATGCGGCCCACCAACAGTTCTGAGCAGTTTGGTGTATTACTGTGACACTTCACTGTTTGAATTATTCAATTTGTCTGTGCTTGCAACATTCCAGACAAGCATTTCTCTGTGCATTTCTCAGTGACACTGAACAATCTGCATGGCCTCGTGCCTATAACCAAATCACAGCCACGCTGATATTCAGTAAAACAGCACTCATATTATTTAATTATTGCCTGAAGTATACAGTCACCACAGGTTCATATTCAGATTGTTCACACTGTAGGCAATGGTACTTTCTTTTGAATTACAAAAGCCTTTTCCATGGTTAAATCCACCATATCCTTAGACAGCATCATCAGGGAATGTTATGCTTCATTTCAGTCAGTGAGTATACTTCTGTAATGGCTGAAATCCATATCGATTTTCACTTTCATTAACGGATTTCACTCTCCCAGCCAGAATTTGGCAAACGGTGTGATTCCATGATGCAGAAATGCATTTACTTAAAGATCCATTTAATGGTGTGTGCAAAATATAACTGGGAATAGTCATTTCTTCACATTTTCTTATGCTTCCAGGAACTAATATCTATGTAGAGCCATTATCATCATTTATAATGTAATGCACAGTATCGACAATATTTCAGGGCTTGTAAAGTTATGCAGTAACAATAAACAACTAAATTGCACAAGCATTCAAGCAGGGAGTTTCACAAAAAGAGTCGTTTACATCACCTCATTCAGTTCGTACCACAACAAGGTGATATTACTAAAGTGGGGATACTAATCTTATTACTCCTCTAAAACACACAGAGGAAGTATTCTGCCTCCAGAGAGTGATAGACCTCTGCTAAGGTTTCACTCTAAAACATGCAAGGTTTTTTTGTTTATTTATGTATTTGTTTAGCATTTTTCCCAGTATTACCCAGAGTGGTTGGTTTAAATTAATTGACAGTTGAAACAATACATCCCCCAGATACCTTCCAGAAGCGGCATTACTAAAACCCAGTTGTTGACTTACAAATCACAGGCTTTTTGCATCCTCTTTAGGAGAGAGCAGTTCTCAGTGCCACCAAAATGGTTTATTTCTTTGGTGAAATAAAGGTTTGTATGAGTTTTATGTCATTTGTAAAAGTCTTTACTGTGCTGCAAATAATTTTATGCAACACAACATACAGGGCTGAGATGTCAGTTGTTACTTTTAATTGTTATCTATTTTTTTTTTTTTCCCTAAAATGTTTGGTAAATGAGTTTTGTCAGTAGTACTGCTGTTTAGAACTGTATTTATCCAAAATAAAGGTTAAATTATGTAAACACAGTGGTTATGTAGTGTAATTTTCAGAAGTTAATTGGAAATATTAACCTATGTATAACATAAATATAAACTGTGATTCCTTGAAAACTTAACTGGCATAAATCTAAATTATGTCATCAGAATTTATCCTCAGGTTGTTGCAAACATGTATGACTTTCTTTAGAACACAAAATGATATATTAATGGGAAAACTCTATCTCTCTCTCTCTCTCTCTGTATACAAATTCAATAGGGTTCAATGTAGTTTTGGACTTTTCACAGAAGAAGTAGAGTAATAACGGATTGGAACAATGTGATAGTGAACAAATTTCATCTATCCATTTCAGGTTTTTATTTCAGGTCTGCTGCTGATGTATAATAAAAATGTGTGTGCATAATATACCTGACCCATAAAATCCACAAAGCCAATGTTGACACTTGACATCCAGAACACCAGTGCATGTTAATTTTCCTCAGTCATAGCATTAATGACCCATGTCTTGCTCTCTCCAGTCTAAGCACCCAAGCTTGACAGCCGCAACGGTTTGTTGCAACAACAAAGGAAGGCTAAAATGAGACATTACATTCTGCACATTTCCCTCCATGTTATTTATTTGCCCTGTTTTTGTGGAAATACTCAGAGAGGCTGATATCACCACTGGATTGTTTACCACAGGCTGGAGTGACTCTCTTGCAAAGTGAGCATTCTCCAAGTGCTGCTGAAATTGCTTTTCCTCCTCTGTTTTAAAGTACTCACGTTGAGAGAAACACTTAGCCAGCGGAGGGAGAGCAGCCTGACGTGAGGTACTGATGAGCCTGCCAATCTATCTCCTGACACACAGGTATCACCTGGAGTGGTGCCAAACTGCAGTGCCTGTTCGGCCTATAAACGACGAATGGAGCCCTGAAAGTACGAGGGGGCCCCAGTCACTTATATTTGAAGTAGGTTCGGGATGAATTGGGCTTGCCCTGAGTGCAGTGATGCTGTATGGAGAAAAGGATGGAGAGAACCCCATAACTCAAGAGGCTAGTTAAGAGCTGGTCCGATATCATTAAAGGTCCCATATTGTCAAAACTGAAATTTCCTGGCTTTTTTCATGATAACTGAGGTCTAGGTGCTATGTAACTACCATGTAAGTTTCAAAACAGTCAATCCAGTCAAATGCACACAGCCTGCATAAAGTAGCTGCGATTTTTCATGAACCGTTGTGACTTCCGTAAATAGGTCACGTCAGACCTACTCCTTTTGCCAAAAAACATGAATTACCATTCTGAAACATCCTATTGTAAACGCGTTTGAGGAGGTGGGTGGTTGTCTCCTGTCGTCGCCGATTCGGGGTCTGAGTTCGGCTCAAACATGTAAGGCCAGACAGTTTCCCTCAGCAGTGACCATCATTACCGGTGTTTCTATAGACCTTACTTGTGAGTATCACCAATCCACAGCAGGCTACAGCATACACGACCAATTAGACAGGCCAAAATCGACCTGTTCGTTGCAGAGCTCCTGAGAGAGGAGCTGTAAATATATATTTAGATGTTTTTTGGTACTTATACCGCAAATATATATTCTTAAGGACAGCAAGACTTAAAATAAAACTCCAGAAAGGTATATAATATGTGACCTTTAAAAGAATAGGCCTATCTGACTGACAATGTTGAGTCTTGAAATTGTGATATGTGAGGAGACAGCAGAGGCCACTGAAGGTTCTTTAATCAAAACCATGACTCATTTAGGACAAGTTCCCTAAATAGAAAGTGATGTTCCACATTGTGTGGTCTGAGGCAGTTAAAAACAACCATTCTTTATAGAATAAGAATCTTAATCCTAAGGAATCTTAATGGACATCTGAAAGGATGTAGTTTACATTAAAATAAGCAGGTAAATAAATATTTAAGTGTTGCTTAATGGGACAATGACAAATGTCCAAGATCAAGAAAAAAATAAAGTTTTTCAACAAAATGTCATGTGTTGTAATGACTAGTTAAAAAGCAATATTTTCTTTACACTTTGAATGAATATATGTGATTGTACAATACTTATTTTTGATCAAAAGTATATTCATTCATTCATTCAATGCAACATTTACTACATATATAATTATTAGCATTTTTCATCCATAGCCTTATTTCAGGACAGCTATAGCATCCATAATACACCCATATTTTTTGTTTTTATGACACAAAATGAAAAATTAAAATAAGCAGGTAAAGAAATATTTAAGTGTTGCTTAATGGGACAATGACAAATGTCCAAGATCAAGAAAAAAATTAAGTTTTTCAACAAAATGTCATGTGTTGTAATGACTAGTTAAAAAGCAATATTTTCTTTACACTTTGAATGAATATATGTGATTGTACAATACTTATTTTTGATCAAAAGTATATTCATTCATTCATTCAATGCAACATTTACTACATATATAATTATTAGCATTTTTCATCCATAGCCTTATTTCAGGACAGCTATAGCATCCATAATACACCCATATTTTTTGTTTTTATGACACAAAATGAAAAAGTATTATCATCACCGAAGAGCTGTATTCAAATAATTGTAACACTAAACTGCATATTTAAGGATTTTTTAAAAGAAACTGATACATAAAATGAGTGTCATGTCACTAACCATGATAACAAGTGAAAAAGTGTTCAAATAATTATTCACAGGTATGTGATACTGAATCCATTGTGCATGATTAATTAACAGAACAAATAAAAGGCTTCAACTTACCCAGTTTTTGCGAAATTCGTCCAGTAAGTCATTACTACTGCCGAAAGCATGACGTCGTTCTTGGAGAAATTACAGTTAAAGAGATCAGTGGGCCCAATCATGGGAATTCCAAACACATAAGGCACCTCGTCTCCATGTGCTGAATCCGACCAGCTAGGTTTCATTTCGCTCTGACAGTGGTGGTAGAAAGCATAAAAATATGTTGGAGATCCATATTGAGCATGAAGGTCCGCCGTAGCTACCGCTGGCGCCACCCATTGGTGATCAGTAAAGAGTGCAACTAGCGTCTTTCGCCTGGTCTCCGGGTTCTCCTTGTCAGCCCAGTCGGTATACATGAACTTGATGGTTTCTCGAAGCGTGTCCTTGCCCTCTGGATAACCATAGAGGTGGTCCACAAAATCAGACACAGCAAAGTCAAAGTCGTTTGCAGAGACACCATCCTCACTGTCCACGATGCCATCCACAAATTTAAAACCCTCACCCTGGTTGACGCCCAGCATGATGTCATAGTTGAGAAACTCTCCCTGTTCCATCAGAATTTGGGGATCATCAGGGATGACGTCACCATCGATAACTGGACCAAATGCAATGTGGTACTTGGCCTGTGTGATGTACTGTTCAATCAGCTCCTTGTAGTTTTTGTTCTGTAGACATTCCACCAGATCTACAGTATCTAGCATATTGCAGCCCACCTTCTCAGCTAGTATGCGGGTGTATTTGGCTGGCTGGTAGTTGACAGCCCAGCTTGACAAAGCAGTCCCACTCTGGATGATGGCTTTCTGAAACAAATCTGAAAATAAAATAAAAACATTTATTAATATTAAAGGATTTTTTCACCCAACAATGAAAAATGTTTGATGTGTGTCACGTGTCACGCAAACACATTTAAGCTTCCACAAGAACCATTGAGGTTTGTGCTTGCTTGTCAATAAAGTATGACTGAGCTTCCTTTAACCACATTTGATGTGCTATATGCATGTGTTGATCAATGTTTATATGTGAATAAGAGCCTAAATTAAATCTATTCATCATATGAATGGAGCGTGCCTCTTCAGAAGACTTTGTGTAAGCCGATTGATTCATATGGATTACTTTTGCAATCTCTTTATAAACTTTATGAAGCATCCATGTTTTAGGTGAATGGATGTTCAGTGGAGGAACAGAAATCTCTCAGGTTTCATTAAAAATACCTTCATTCAAGATGAAGTTTTAGTGGTTTGGATCAACATGGGAGCAAGTCAGTGATGAAGGATGAAGTGAACTATCCATTTAACAATAATCAAAGTGAGAACTGAGGGAAAATAATGAGCACAGCAATAATGAAGAAACACAAAGCAAGGTGCTTGTTTATTTCATAATGTATATTACAATGTCTCATTGAAGACTTTGGTTGGACCTCATCAAAACGGACTCGAAAATGAAAGAGCATGTAGAATAAGAATGCTTTATAATGAAGCCTAGGGTCTTTTGTCCCTGCTTACTGTTATATGGGTAAGTAATATCAGTCATTGCCTGACATAGACGCCAACTAATATGCATATGCATTGATGCTGTACCTTTGTCAGCTCAGCCAGGCGTGGCCATAGCACGTTGACACAGATTGTGTATTAGAAAATAGCAATACCTCAGGGCATGGATCTCACTAGGCTGAACCGAGGCTTCTGACGCACTGACATAGAGTGAAAAATAGCCTTCACTCAGATTTAAAATATCAAAAATGTGGAGAAGGCACTACTGCCAAGACCTTTTTAATGTATTGGCCATTAAAAAAATATCAATGCCAATGCCCAGACAATGGGGCTTAGCAGACTCTACCCATAAATCAAAGACTGATTACTCATAATATGTTTTAAACTAGGTTAAAGGAAGTCCTAATCAAACCCAGATGCATGATGGCTTTGCCAGGCACATTGAACTGTGCATGTGGGATCTGAACAATATGACATGAATAAAAACTGATTTTAACAGATTTTTTTTTTTTTGAAAATGAGAAAATGATTTCATATCCTAAATAATGTATGATTGGTTTAATTAATCATTACTGATAAATAAGTTAGTTTGAATGAATTAAATTAAATAAATTAAAATTAACCAGTAATTCATCATCATCTTATTAATGGTAATCTTACTAATGGTTTTCTAATGTTATACTTTTTAGAGCGCCTGACAAGCATCTGAAGACAAAAGGCTCAGGTGAACAGTAGAGGTAACAGGTTAAATAAAATGCCTTCCTGCTTATTTTACAATTTACATTATGTAATTCGTTCATAAATCATGGCCGACCTTTCAGACAGGAACACCAGAAGGGAACTACATCTTGTCCTGTTATTTTGATCAAATATGGCACTTCCTTATTTGGGGTTGTGTTAGTGTTAGAGTAACTGTAGCCAGAGGTCATTTGATCCATTACTATATTTTGTCTGCTATCTAGCCAGGCTGGACATTGAATGTAAAATCTATATTTTATAGTGGGACAATTGAGTTCCAGATGAATGCCTTGTAGGGGTTGTTGTTGCAATGAAAATTGCATGCAGCCAGGCACACAGGGACCAAGGTCTTTTTGTTCTTAGAAGATCTTTCAATATATCAGCACAGAGAAAATAGGGGATTGTGTTATTTGTTGTAAATGAAATAAGTAATTAAGTAATGGATTGGAAGCTGGATTCTGTAAAGACAAAAGAGAGCATAATCACAGTTTAAGTTATCATGATTGCAATTAATTAGGGTATATATGAAGATTTCAGATGCAAAAGCCTCTAAGTGCCATTTGAAATTTTCTTCTAAAATGAGCATTTTTCTCAGGCTCCTATGTTTATGTTCAGTTATTTCACTTTAATGGCAATTAAATGAACCTATTCATTGCCATTAAAGTGAAATTACTGAATTTACACACAGGAGCCTGAGAAAAATGCTCATTTTAGAAGAACATTTCAAATGACATTTAGAGGCTTTTGCATCTGAACTCTTCATATATTTATGTATATATATACAGTGGGTACGGAAAGTATTCAGACCCCCTTAAATTTTTCACTCTTTGTTATATTGCAGCCATTTGCTAAAATCATTTAAGTTAATTTTTTTTCCTCATTAATGTACACACAGCACCCCATATTGACAGAAAAACACAGAATTGTTGACATCTTTGCAGATTTATTAAAAAAGAAAAACTGAAAAATGCTCAGTATTTAGTAGAAGCACCCTCTTGATCTAATACAGCCATGAGTCTTTTTGGGAAAGATGCAACAAGTTTTTCACACATGGATTTGGGGATCCTCTGCCATTCCTCCTTGCAAATCCTCTCCAGTTCTGTCAGGTTGGACGGTAAACGTTGGTGGACAGCCATTTTTAGGTCTCTCCAGAGATGCTCAATTGGGTTTAAGTCAGGGATCTGGCTGGGCCATTCAAGAACAGTCACAGAGTTGTTGGGAAGCCACTCCTTCGTTATTTTAGCTGTGTGCTTAGGGTCATTGTCTTGTTGGAAGGTAAACCTTAGTTCCAGTCTGAGGTCCTGAGCACTCTGGAGAAGGTTTTCGCCCAGGATATCCCTGTACTTGGCCGCATTCATCTTTCCCTCGATTGCAACCAGTCGTCCTGTCCCTGCAGCTGAAAAACACCCCCACAGCATGATGCTGCCACCACCATGCTTCACTGTTGGGACTGTATTGGACAGGTGCCTGGTTTTCTCCACACATACCGCTTAGAATTAAGGCCAAAAAGTTCTATCTTGGTCTCATCAGACCAGAGAATCTTATTTCTCACCATCTTGGAGTCCTTCAGGTGTTTTTTTAGCAAACTCCATGCGGGCTTTCATGTGTCTTGAACTGAGGAGAGGCTTCCGTCGGGCCACTCTGCCATAAAGCCCCGACTGGTGGAGGGCTGCAGTGATGGTTGACTTTCTACAACTTTCTCCCATCTCCCGACTGCATCTCTGGAGCTCAGCCACAGTGATCTTTGGGTTCTTCTTTACCTCTCTCACCAAGGCTCTTCTCCCCCGATAGCTCAGTTTGGCCGGACGGCCAGCTCTAGGAAGGGTTCTGGTCATCCCAAACGTCTTCCATTTAAGGATTATGGAGGCCACCGTGCTCTTAGGAACCTTAAGTGCAGCAGAAATTTTTTTGTAACCTTGACCAGATCTGTGCCTTGCCACAATTCTGTCTCTGAGCTCTTCAGGCAATTCCTTTGACCTCATGATTCTCATTTGCTCTGACATGCACTGTGAGCTGTAAGGTCTTATATAGACAGGTGTGTGGCTTTCCTAATCAAGTCCAATCAGTATAATCAAACACAGCTGGACTCAAATGAAGGTGTAGAACCATCTCAAGGATGATCAGAACAAATGGACAGCACCTGAGTTAAATATATGAGTGTCACAGCAAAGGGTCTGAATACTTAAGACCATGTGATATTTCAGTTTTTCTTTTTGAATAAATCTGCAAAAATGTCAACAAATCTGTGTTTTTCTGTCAATATGGGGTGCTATGTGTACATTAATGAGGAAAAAAAATTAACTTAAATGATTTTAACAAATGGCTGCAATAATAACAAAGAGTGAAAAATTTAAGGGGGTCTGAATACTTTCCGTACCCACTGTATACAACGTACTTGTAAACAAACAAACGGAAATTTTTTACATTTATTTTATAATGCATATAATGTTAATTTTATACACACACATACATAGATATATAATGCATGTATAAAATTAACTAAGCTAACTAATATATATATATATATATATATATATACAGTGGGTACGGAAAGTATTCAGACCCCCTTAAATTTTTCACTCTTTGTTGTATTGCAGCCATTTGCTAAAATCATTTAAGTTAATTTTTTTTCCTCATTAATGTACACATAGCACCCCATATTGACAGAAAAACACAGATTTGTTGACATTTTTGCAGATTTATTAAAAAAGAAAAACTTAAATATCACATGGTCCTAAGTATTCAGACCCTTTGCTGTGACACTCATATATTTAACTCAGGTGCTGTCCATTTGTTCTGATCATCCTTGAGATGGTTCTACACCTTCATTTGAGTCCAGCTGTGTTTGATTATACTGATTGGACTTGATTAGGAAAGCCACACACCTGTCTATATAAGACCTTACAGCTCACAGTGCATGTCAGAGCAAATGAGAATCATGAGGTCAAAGGAATTGCCTGAAGAGCTCAGAGACAGAATTGTGGCAAGGCACAGATCTGGCCAAGGTTACAAAAAAATTTCTGTTGCACTTAAGGTTCCTAAGAGCACAGTGGCCTCCATAATCCTTAAATGGAAGACGTTTGGGATGACCAGAACCCTTCCTAGAGCTGGCCGTCCGGCCAAACTGAGCTATCGGGGGAGAAGAGCCTTGGTGAGAGAGGTAAAGAAGAACCCAAAGATCACTGTGGCTGAGCTCCAGAGATGCAGTCGGGAGATGGGAGAAAGTTGTAGAAAGTCAACCATCACTGCAGCCCTCCACCAGTCGGGGCTTTATGGCAGAGTGGCCCGACGGAAGCCTCTCCTCAGTGCAAGACACATGAAAGCCTGCATGGAGTTTGCTAAAAAACACCTGAAGGACTCCAAGATGGTGAGAAATAAGATTCTCTGGTCTGATGAGACCAAGATAGAACTTTTTGGCCTTAATTCTAAGTGGTATGTGTGGAGAAAACCAGGCACCTGTCCAATACAGTCCCAACAGTGAAGCATGGTGGTGGCAGCATCATGCTGTGGGGGTGTTTTTCAGCTGCAGGGACAGGACGACTGGTTGCAATCGAGGGAAAGATGAATGCGGCTAAGTACAGGGATATCCTGGACGAAAACCTTCTCCAGAGTGCTCAGGACCTCAGACTGGGCTGAAGGTTTACCTTCCAACAAGACAATGACCCTAAGCACACAGCTAAAATAACGAAGGAGTGGCTTCACAACAACTCTGTGACTGTTCTTGAATGGCCCAGCCAGAGCCCTGACTTAAACCCAATTGAGCATCTCTGGAGTGACCTAAATATGGCTGTCCACCAACGTTTACCATCCAACCTGGCAGAACTGGAGAGGATCTGCAAGGAGGAATGGCGGAGGATCCCCAAATCCAGGTGTGAATAACTTGTTGCATCTTTCCCAAAAAGACTTGTGGCTGTATTAGATCAAAAGGGTGCTTCTATTAAATACTGAGCAAAGGGTCTGAATATTTAGGACCATGTGATATTTCAGTTTTTCTTTTTTAATAAATCTGCAAAAATGTCAACAATTCTGTGTTTTTCTGTCAATATGGGGTGCTGTGTGTACATTAATGAGGAAAAAAAATTAACTTAAATGATTTTAGCAAATGGCTGCAATATAACAAAGAGTGAAAAATTTAAGGGGGTCTGAATACTTTCCGTACCCACTGTATATACACACACACACAGGGCAGCATTTGTAAATGGACCAAAATGTATTAATTCATGTCACATTTTTCTCGTAGGTCTCGTAGCGGGACAACAACTTAGCAGGCTTACAGCAGTGCTTCATTGCACCTGTTTCGCAAAGAGCAATTAGATGGTATTTTCAGATAAAAAAGGGGGCGTATTGATTATGAATTCAAATGTAATTTTCATGTATGCCTAAATTAAACAAATTAAGGGAAAAACGCACCAGGTTCCGAAACAAATGCTCCAAACGAGCCAGGTTGAAAACAGTCTTAATGTCTCAGAATTGTGACGTTATAGCCAACAACTGGGACGTTAGTTTTCTGAATTCCGAGTTATCGCTCAATTGCAATTGTAATTATGTTCTATGTCAAACTGTCTATTACAAAATTATTTTTACCTTCTGAATAGTGTGACAGGGTCAGCAAGCTTACACAGGACGCCCCAGCTCCTGATCCAAATATAGTCACCCTTTTCGGGTCGCCTTTGAAAGCCTGGATATTCTCTTTGATCCACCGGAGTGCTTGGATCTGGTCCAACAGCCCATAATTCCCTTTGGCTGCCTGGTCACCTGTACTCAGGAACCCTAGTAAAACACACACACACAAACAGATGTTTATAAAATAAATCTCAGAAAGCGTTTAAAGTCATTTATTTCAAGTAAACCATTGCTTATTGACATTCATTATATAAATATTTAAATTGCGTTTTTTTCTTCTTCTTCTTCTTCACAACCCTTTTATTTCTCATAGACATCTGTGGGCCATTTGATTAAAACTTGTTTTCATTCTAATTGTCTTTTGCTTGACACACCTTCCCTCCCACTCACAAACACATGTACACAAAAGAATCACTGCACTTGACATCTGAATAGGCCGAGCACAGAATTCTAAAAAGAGACCCTTAATGGAATGCCTCGGTTACTTCATGTTAGGGGCACTAATGGCTGCCCTCAAAACCTTCTCATTATTTACCTCTGGACCCAATCTATCCCACTAATGCTTTCACTAAAGTCATCATTGTGAAGAAAGAATCAAAAAGGCACCACTTCTGGTGCAAGAGACATGCTGTTAAGGCACAGAGGATAGTTCAAGGTTGCATTTTAGACTCTAATAGGGTTATTCGACCATCTTTATGGAAAAGGCTGAGGTTACTTCCATGTTAATTGATGCAATTTAGCTACTCATTCAAAGTTGAATGTGGAGGTGCTCATAATTTCCATTGGGTTAAGTGTAAGTCACTCAAATGACATGAAAATTATGGCTTGATGGCATCTTTTGCGGAGGTCTCAGTCTGGATAAAAGCTAGATTCTAATCAAAATTAACATTTGGATTGCAAAAGGAGGGCAGTCCCTTATTAAATGGTGATTTGCCTTTAGGCATTGTTTGACAAAATCACTTCTTATTTGAGGAGACACTACATCGAGTGACAACATACAGCAACAGATATTTCCTAAAAGACTTTAAAATAAACCCCATTGCTCTGATCGGCTTACGGTGAGCATGCCAAACTTTAACCGACTTGTCAATGTGCACAAAATCACAAACAGGTTGACAAATTAGCCAACTGTCTTAAACCCATTAGCAAGATCCGGAAAAGCCTCAGGGGTGTCAATTCCGTTCCTTTGCCCGGTCTTGGATTTCCGATTCTGGCCTATGGCAAAGGCACTTTCCTCGTACAACTGCTTAGGGGCTGGTCCCAGACAGCACTGGACAAATAGGATGAGAAGCAAGGGAAGTAGGGCTAGCCACTGTGGCTTTTTGATAGAGGGACATATCCAGTTGGTCATGCCTACACAAAAGGGGCTTGCTGTGGGAGAGGGATTACAAAGCCAAGGACAGCATCAGTACTGTAGCTCAACTGGATAACCCAAGGCCATGGTCACATACAGAACATCATCGTGACAAAGTGGGAAAAGAAATCAAGGAATTCTGCGAGTACATCTTACTGAAAACTTTATGCAAATGTACTTTTAGAAGGTATTGGAATATATGCATACAGATTGTAAAGAATCCTTTCTCAAAACATTCATCATTCATCAAGCCTCATCTAGTCTCATGATTGGAGTGCACTTGCCAACAAAATGGAATGTTGCTGGCAGTGTGTTGAGGCACACCTGGTGCATATTTCACCTTGTCCACTATTGTGTGTCTGCTATTTATGAACCTGGTTTCACAACAGTCCATTCACAAGGCATTCCTCAAAACCACTTCTATGCCTGACTCTTTGCATAGACTTTATAATGGCTGTATAAGTGAGGGCATTCAATCTCTAGACTGAATCAATACAAAAAAGGACACACATTAATTACAACATAAATAATTACATTTCCTTTAAACTTTTGAAATAAATGTTGATACTGTAACTTTCACAATTCAAAACATAGTCTAAAATGATAATTTATTGAATCTAACCTGCAAAAATGGTATGTGAAAGGGCTCGGAAAAGTATCTTTGACAGCAATTATTTGGGGTTAAGGGAAATGTGAATTTGAAATGACTATTTGAACATGTTTGTTTAAATTTGAAATTGAAAACGTATATGCTTTAATTTAAAAACTATTTAAAAATCTTTCATCTACTCAGACAAGAAAATTAATAACACTTTGTGCTAAATATGGAACTAACTTCCGTTAAATTGTAAACAATCAGCAAAAGGTTTGCTCTATGAACGCAATAATAAACTTTCAAAAACTGGGTACAATGAGGTGACATTATTCTACTCACCCTTCAACCATCCAACATTAAAAGGAAATTAACACGTATAAAATCATTAATACATTATTTCAACATACCATGAATAACCCCTAAAGCTAGATTATTTCTACATAAATATTACAGACGTCTGATATCATTGTAGTAATATGTGTCTATATTACATAGCAATTACATTTTAAAGCATCAGTGTGAAAACAAACCTGGAAAGAGACTTCAGGATTTGGGGAGAAAAATTAGAGATTCCAGCATTCCAGAGAATTATTCAGAGGATATATCGTAAATTGAATCAAGAGAGAGCAGACCAAAAATGCGAAGTATATGTTGTCTTTCAGTGCTGAAAAGACTTCTGAAGATAGAACATGAAGGAAAATGTACAGCTCATTCAGTCAAACTGATGAATAAGCATTACTTGAAGTGTAACCATATGATTTGAAATAATTTGTTTCAGCCTTTGTGAACTTACCCAAACCTCCCATAATTTAAAACACAATACGCTAGTTCGGAAAAAGGAGTGGAATTTTTTTTTTCTTTCTATTGTTAATAAGTAGTCTCAATAAGTAGTTAAATATTGCATATACAGTGTATATATATATATATATATATATATATATATAGACCCGGCTAGAACAAGCGGAGTGATACAAAATTGGGAAAGGGCGTTCCTGTAGCGATACCAGTACAAAATCTCACGGTTCTCAACCAATCAGATTTGAGAACAGAACGAACTGTTGTATAAAATATATATATATATATATATATTTTATATATATTTGTATTAGTGTTTGGCTAGACACTCCGGATCATTCAACAAGGATTGATGCAGTTCCCGGTATGTTGTTCAAAGTAAGACCCTCACTAATCCTTTGCTGTATTAAATGGTGAAGCCAGTGAGAGCCACACACAAAAATGTAGGTCACCCCTCCAAAAATCCAATGGAAATATCAGAAGGCTGAGCGACAGTGACAAAAGGATCTTGTCAGGCTCACAGCTAGCTGCTGTCGCTAAAACACTTCCAACTGTACCCCTAACACACCTCAGCAGGATGTATGGAAGGAAAGGGTGCTCACACTGATGTCACCACTGCGGATTGAGCAGCAAAATTATAAACTAGCAAGTTTATGATGACAGTTATGACTTCTAGGGGAGCGGTAAACTAAACAGGGAACCTAAAAATCATTACAGGGCAGTTTAGTTGAAAAGAGCAGTAAAAAATAATAATAATAATAATAAATAATTTTTAATGTTTTTTTTTTTTTCAGGATGGAAGGTTAATTTATTTATTCTGTAGAATGCACAAGGAGATTTTAAAGGGATAGTGCACTGAAAAAAATGAAAATTGCCATTGTTTACTCACCATCATGTTGTTCCAAACCTGTATGACTTTCTTTCTTCTGTGTAACCCAAAAGAATAGTCAATGAAGTGTCATTTGAATTTTGATAATTGTTGGTAACCAAACAGTTTCTGTTCCCATTGACTTGCATTGTATTTTGTCCTTCCAAAGGAAGTCAATGGGAACTGAAACTGTTTGGCTATCAACATTCTTCAAAAATCTTTGACATGCTAAATAAGAAAGTCAGTCATACAAAGTCATACAAATATGCTCCAAAAATGGCAATCATCACCATAAAAGCACCATTAATTTAACAGTCCCTAGTTACCATTAACTTCCATTCAACACTTCTAGACGGCACATGACTGTATGACTTTCTTTCTTCTGTGGAACACAAAAGAAGATTAAATGAAGATGTGAGTTATTTTGGGCAAACTGGTAACCAGTGCTTTCCATTGACTTCATTGTATTTTGTCCTTCCAATGGAAATTATTGGGAACTTAAACTGTTTGGTTACCAAGATTCTTCTTAAAAAAAAAATAGTTTACGTCCTACAGAAGAAAGTCATACAAGTTTGGAACGACACGAGAGTAAGTAAATGTGTTTCAAACGTTTATTGAAAAGTTTCTGAAATATGCAACGACTCTGTACTTTGTGACTTGCCAATGGCCTGGTACTTCTAGAAGATCTATCAATTAGTTTCATAAAGAAAGCTTCAGTCAGGACACACTTAAACCCGCTAGAAACTGACTGGAATCCTTTCAGTCTTGGTATTGATAGTAATAAATATGTCACATCCAAGTGAATAGTCGTGAGGGAAAAAACATACATATTGATTTAATTTCTTTGCGATGACACACTCTAATTTTATAACTGCATATTAACAGCCACATTCATCAAAACTTGTCTTTAGTGCCAAATCCTCCTTTTGTCTTTAATACGTATATTCAGCAATCATTAACTAATGTTTTTTTAATCAAAATATGCAAAAGCTGCAAGAGAAAGAAAGAATAAAGGAAAAGAAAGTCGTTTGATGACAGGCTGATGGTAATAGTGTCTAATTGTGCTCACTGTCAGGAAGATAATCCCTTTGGCTCTCAGATGAAATGTTAATTTTCAAAGAAGGAGACGTGAGAGAAACATTCTGGATTAGCTCAACTGAGGTCAGGTCACGCACATACACAAAACTAAGAATTGTATTTAAGACATTATTGGTCAATTTATTTTGTTTCAGAATGACAAAAGAGCGGTAATGAAGTCTGGTATGGCATCTCTTTGGTACAGGTGCCGGTGGTTATAATGACCGCCATTAGGGCTGATGGGAAGTTAACCTCAGTCCATCAACTCCAATCACTGCATTCACACTAGACCTCAATCTCCATTTGAGATGATACATCCATACAAATTTATTCTGGGATAATTATTGCTTTAAAAAAAAAAAGAAAGAAAGAAGAAGAAGAAGAAGAAAAAAAAGCGGAGACTGGCAACCGGAAGAAACCAGAACAAACATGGCTGAGCCCAGCAGGGACAGACTCTA